AGTTCATTTATTAAACTAACTCTTAATTGTTTCATGCAAGTTTTCAATTAAAGATTGAATAAAGTTCACCTTTGTGTCTAGGTGCACGAGAGAAGTTGAATGGTTTCAACAGATGCAAGAATATCAGTCAGAATGTATTCTAATTCTGGATGTGATACAGACGTTTTTGGGTCCAGAAATCAATTGGAAATTATTCATCTATCTTTTATCTTTCCAACGCCTTTTGAATCACCTCAATCCGATATCGGGAGCTTGAGATATGATCGATTTATTGAAGACAGTGCAGGCTGGAATTGTTACGGGAATTTTATGCATGGATGATTTGGATGAGTTTGATCCAAGAAAGAGTCCTTTCATCTTCTACCAAGAGACAAGCAATTCATGGCCATTTTAATTCACCAATTCAAGGCATTCAAGGTTGATGTTATCACCCAATGAAGGCCATTCATGTTCAAGCAAGGGACATGCAATAACCAACATTCAAAACTTAGCATTCAAGACCTTTATCATCTCTTGAAGGCTGATCATATTCTACAAGGGAACAAGCAATGGAGGTTGATTTTATTTCATTTAACCACCAAATTAAGTGATAAAATCAGCAAGGAATTTGAAGAGAGAAGCTGATTTGAACATGTAGGAAGTCCACATTCATCCTATGACTTCATTTATCCTCTTTTCTTCCATTTGCAATCAAAGCAAGGCAGCCCAAGAGTCACCCCTCCTTTTTGGACGAATTTAAGGCTAGAATTATCTCAAATTAAAGATTAATTCATCCATTTCAATCTACATGGCCAGCCATCAAAGGATAAGAAGAATGACAAGTCATTTAATTGAATTCAATTGCATTTAGGTGATTGTTTTATTTTAATTATAAAAACTCTTCATATGGTGCCTATCAACACTATAAATAGGCACCTCCATGGCATTTTTACTTAGAACTTTTTTCATAATAAACTCTTTGAAAGGTTGCTTTCATTTTAGTTCTTGGATTAGAACTCTATCGGTTTTTTGTCAGTCTTGATGCCTTCCTCCATTTCATATTTTTTATAACGTTGGTTCCTAGCTCACATATAGCTAGTGGGTCACGTTCCACCCTCTATCACTTTGATTTCATCATTGTATATTGTTGGTTCCTAGCTCCATATAGTTAGCGGGTCACAATCCATACTTTTTATTTCATCATTTATCTCTCATGCCATAACATCTTTTACCTTCACCATACTTCCATTCTTTCCATACTATAAATTATTATCACCACTACACTTTCCCTATTTTACTTCATTTCATTAAATCACAACAATCATCACTCTTCCATCACCTTCAAACAACTTTATCACAACCTACAACCTTTCATTTTCAATTTACTTATATGAATTTATTTCTTGTAACGTTGTTTGTGCATTTTCAGTCTTTAATCAGAGCACTGCGAAGTTCTTACTAGAATCATGATCGAGCAACATCATATATGACTCGAAACACATAGGGATCATATCACGAGACTTGAGTCACACAACATCAGTGTCTCTATGTATCTCGAGCTGAGTCTAGGTCACACAACATCGTAAGTTCACTCGACTAGTCTACTCCTCTAGAGTACTCGAGATATGGTCGGGTCACTTAGCATCATCACTCTATCCGACTAGTAATTTAAAGTGCACAAACACTCATTTAGATATTTTCGGATAATCCTCAGTCTACCACACAATCGTCATTTAAGTAACTCAGGTATCCTCATCGTTTTCCCGAGCGTCAAATAAAGGCATAAGTCTTATTGCATCTTATCTCATTAAGACCTTATGTTATTACACAATTATTAAGGTTTTCACTTGTATTCTTATTGTGGAGTTTCCCCTCTCGATTAAACCTAACTTCGTTCCTATATCACAAAATATCCTCATTGTCCAAGCCATTACGATGGAACTAGTACTCTTCCTTGGCTATCGGTACTCCCCCTCTTGTGGTATCGATACTCCCTTGAGTATTAGTACCAAATTTGCCTTCAATGTTTAAAAATTAAACTTGGTATCAATACTCGTCTAGGAGTATCGATACTCACACTCCTTGGTATCGATACACCTGTGAGTACGGATACAAAAATTACTTTTGATGTTTTGAAAAATACCCAAGTATCGATACCCTTATTGGGAATATCAATACTATACTCTAGGTATAGATACTCCCTTGAGTACCGATACTAAAATTGGCTTCGATGTTTCTAACCAAGTCCCCGAGTATCGATACTAGGCCTCTGAGTATCGATACTTCTTTATGGAGTATCGATACTCCCCTCATAATCTCTTTGAATTTTTCCCTCACTCGATGGGTAGTATCGATACTAAAAACTCTGTTTTCTCTTGTAAAAACTCTTCTAGTTCACCCCTAAAGTTATCCCAAGTCCCCCAAATGGTGTTCAAAGCTTATGTATAGTTATAGGATCATGAAAGATCATTGCTTTACACTCAAATAACAACAAATTCTATTTTTCATGCTTTAAACCCCCAAAGTGCACCCAATGGCTCATAAACACAAAACAAGCAACCAACTACTTAGGTTGATCTACAAGCAATAGAAGGATATTAGAAATGTGTTATCTTACACCTAGGAGATGAAGAATCAACCCAAAGTTCACCCAATCACTTCTTTCTCATTGTATTTCCTCTTTAAGCTCTCACCCACCTCTCTCACTAGAACAAGCAAGGAAATGAGTTATTAAGTCATCTAGGAGTTGAAGAATGTGGTAACCATGCTTTCTAATTCTAAAAAACATATTCGAAACACTAAAGACCCTTAAAACCCAAAACCTCTTTCAAACCCCCCACTTGGTTCTCCATGGCTAAAGCTTGAAAATTAACACTTGAATGAAACTTTGGAGACAGGGATTTCAATTCTTACCTTAGATTCTTTGAACAATGGTTGAAGTTCATAAAGTTCTCACATTTTCCTCTCTCCAGTTATCAAGAAGGGAAGATAAAGTTTGAATAAGGAAGAGGAGAAGACAAAGATGAAGAAAAAGAGGAATGAGAGTTTTATGTCATTGACATCATCCTCTCTTAATTGATTTCAACCTTTGGGAAAATTTTAGGGGTTATTTGCTCCTTTAGTCATCCTTATTTCCATTCCAAATTAAAACACCTTTTTTATGTATACATGGGCCCCAACCCAATCTAAAACAAGTAAACTCTTAACCCATCTATTCTAATTGGTCTCTTGGCCTATTAAATTCTTTTCCGATTTACCCGAAACTACTAACTTAGAAATCGGGACGTTACATCCTTCATCAAAGTATTTCATAGGAAGTTCAGGTATTTGTATACAAACTACTATAGATTATATACATGCGTTTTCAGCGCAGAAATTCGATCTTCATTTCTGTACTGTTATATAGTGATTAAGTAAGAACTTTCAGTCTAACATTCATACTTTGAAATTTTACTCCATAAAATCCATTACCCAAGTCAATGTAGTCAAAATCACTTTCAAGTTTCCACATCGTTGTAATTCTACTAATTAAAATATTGTATGCTACTGATTTTCCCAACACTTTGATTATTAGAATTTTTCTCTATCGTATTCTGATTCTTTCTTTTACTTTTGCGGGAATCTTGATTGTTGGAATATCATCCTCAGTCGTCTCATCATCATCATTCGAATCAATTTCTTATTCTTTGATTCTTGTAGAACTTTGAAAGATTCCAATAAAGATCGGTGTATCCACAACGGTGTCTCTCCAAGATTTTTCTCTTAACGTTTCTTCATGGTGATCGACTCTCTCCGATTGTCTTAATCTCTTGTTGTTATTGTTTGTTTCTCCAGAACTCGCCATCATTCCGATCACCATGGTGACCAGAGGCCCTTCCTCTAGCATGTCAACGGTGGTCGAAAACAAGAAAGATTGAAGATTAGTCTTATTTAATATATCAAATACGATCTAAAATTTCTTAAATATTATAATAATTATTGTGTCAATCAAATTAAATTTTAATAGATATAATAATAATAATTTAAATGTATTATGATGCTAACTATAAACTTAGTAAAGAGAATAAAGTAAAGAAAGGGAAAAAAACAAAAGGCAAAAAGTAGGATGATAAAGAGAGTAAAAAAAAACAGGTAGAGTAAGGCAGTAAGCTTTTCCTAATAGGAATTTGAAGGGAAGTAGCAAATGAGAGTTAAGAGTTAAGATGGATATTCAAAGCAAAAGTTCTTACTTTTTAATTTCCATTCTATCGAGATCTATTCCTAAGATCATCATCCATTATTTTCTACTGGAGAAGATTATAAAATGTCCCTGCTTTTTCTCTCTTTCGCTGCTTTCAAGGAAAAAATAGTACAAGTAATAAATATTTCTTTTAGTAAAATATAAAATGAAGAATATACATAAAGAAAGAAGTTTATTGGCGTGAAAATTAGTATGGGGCTAGGTTAAAGTTAGCGTCGATAGTATCGTACAATGTAACGATGGCGTCTTCTTCTGTAATTTGAGACGAGGAAGACGAGTGGTTGTTTGGGTTCTCTAACAGTTTAGAAGTTGTGTTTCCGTCGAAGACAGTTGCTAGTCTGGTTAGAGAACTTGTACAACAGTTTGCAAATTTAAGTTGACGTAATGCTATTGCACCAAAAGAACATATTTGAGTCCGATTAATGGTTGCTTATAATAATATGATAATGCGAATTTCTTATATTATTTTAAATATCATAAGTATTTAGTTAATGTAGTAATTAATATTTAAACACTCTTGAAATATTTTAAAATATAATTTTAATCAGCCAAACCGAAACTGTCTATTTATTTGGCATTATGTTTATGACAAAAAAGGACAATTGTCGATGAGAAAGCATTACTTTAAGAAGCTAGTTGTAGAATCGATTTATTAAATGTATTAATGAGACCAACGGTAATAATAGGTTTGACAGGTTGCTTAAGGGGCAATTTCGGAATAAATCGGAAAAGTTAACGACACCTTTCCCTATAGATATTAAATGAAAAAGAAAGCCCTCCCTTCCCCACAGTAAATAAAGAGAAGAGAGTGAAGACTGAGAGCATAAGAAAAATAAAGCCTTTTTAGTGGGCGGTAAAGTGCCCCATTTTTCGTTGCTTTCTCACTTCATTCCTAGTCTCTTTTTCTCACTCCATCTTTTGCTTCTTTCTTGATCCTCACTCTCGGTTTCCTTGTTGATTCATTACTTTCAAGCTAAAGTTTTGAGTTTATCCACCGATTCTTTGATTCTTTTGGCGGTTAAGTTATGGCAGCTCAAAAAGCTGAAGAAATAAGCCACCTACCCATGGATCAACTTCAAGGCTTAGAGTACTGCATTGACTCAAATCCTTCTTGGGGTATGTCTTTTTTTATTAAAAAAAATCTTTTTTTCTTCTGCATTTTCCGGTTTGTTTTGTATTTGTAACCCTCATATTTTGCTTGTGGAAGCAGGGGAGACTATAGCTTTGGGGTTTCAGCATTACATTTTGGCTTTAGGAACTGCTGTGATGATCCCTACTTTTCTCGTTCCTTTGATGGGCGGAACTGATGTATGCCACTTCGAATTATATGCTGAATGAATAGAATTCTTAACTGTTTCTCTTCTTTTCTGGCCTTTGGATATTCTTCAGATTTCCTTTCTTTATCATACACACAAAAAGCATAAGACGTATGTGTTGTTTTTTACTTTCTTTTAAACACGATCTCCCTTTTTTTTTTGATGGTTTAGGATGATAAAATAAGAGTGGTTCAGACACTACTATTTGTTGAAGGGATTAATACACTTCTACAAACACTGTTTGGGACTCGGTTGCCTACCGTGATTGGAGGATCTTATGCCTTCATGGTTCCCATTATATCAATAATTCATGATACTTCCTTGATGAGTATCGAGGACAATCACGTGGTTAGTACACTTTTCAATCTTTTACCCTGTAACGCTTGCATTTTCATTAACTTCAATCTTCTTTTGCAAAAGGAAATTCATCAAGGACCTTAGGTCAATATTTGTGGGACCCACTTGCTCAGCTTAGTGTTGATTTTGTAACGCTTGCATGTACCAAAGTCTTCAAATGAGTCACGTCAGTGAATTGTCATCCTGTTTTTGCTCACACTGTTTAGCTGTATTGACTATTGATAACCCTAATAAGTACAAGAAAATGTAAACAAGTTGCAGCTGTGCTCTCTCTCTCTCTCTCTTATTACTCAAACATCAGGGTACTTCATTAGTTAGGCTAAGGTGGCACCTAGTAGCATTTCAGATCAAAGAACATGAGCTGCTGGTTCATTAGAAAATCTTTTATTTGTATATATTGTGCAGAGATTCATGAACACTATGAGAGCTGTCCAAGGTGCATTAATAGTAGCATCAAGTATACAAATTATCCTGGGATATAGTCAGATGTGGGCCATTTGCTCCAGGTGCAGTTTTAATCTTGAAGGGTTCCCAAATTCAGGAAACACAATTTGAGGAACTATTGACATAAAATTAACCTTTTGGCTTTTCAGGTTCTTCAGTCCCCTTGGAATGGTTCCAGTCATTGCACTAGTGGGCTTTGGCTTGTTTGATAGAGGCTTCCCTGTGGTATAACATAGAAACTATGATGCTATTTTGAATTATTGAATGAAAATTTCCTCGTCTTATCACTAATATAGTTATAATTTGTTATTAAACTATCCACCAGGTTGGTCGCTGTGTGGAAATTGGCATTCCGATGCTTATTCTATTTATAGCCTTCTCCCAGGTACATATGGATACTAACTTGTTTACCAGTTTAGGCCAAATGCGATTGGTTTTCGAACTCTTGTACGGACAAGTGAGTACCATATATCTGATAATGTTTTGTGTCAAAAAACAGTACTTGAAGAATTTTAAGCTAAAACAACTTCCAATACTGGAACGGTTTGCTCTCCTTATATCAATCACAGTGATATGGGCATATGCTCATCTCTTGACAGCAAGTGGTGCATACAAACATCGTCCAGAGTTAACCCAATTAAATTGCAGAACCGACAAGGCCAACCTCATTTCTTCTGCTCCATGGTTGGTACCAAAGCTGTTCTCCATTAGTCGAATATTTGTATGCACACTGAGAGGATATTAAGAGAGGAAGAACTTAATTGTGTTATATTTTCTGACTGAAATTTATTCAATCAGGATAAAGATACCTTATCCTCTTCAATGGGGTGCTCCTACTTTTGATGCTGGGCATGCTTTTGGAATGATAGCTGCTGTTTTAGTCTCATTGATTGAGGTATTGCTCATCAGAACTAGACACTAAATTGAATGCACTTCGATGACAAATAAGAGCCAAATAATGTTTGTTTTGACAGTCAACGGGAGCTTACAAGGCCGCTTCACGTCTAGCCAGTGCCACACCACCTCCAGCTCATGTTCTTACTCGGGGTATAGGCTGGCAAGGCATCGGGATCCTATTGAATGGATTATTTGGAACACTGACTGGTTCAACAGTCTCTGCGTAAGTAATGTTGCTTTCTGTCTCTGAAAATATTACATGCTACTATACTAATTCCACGAGAAATAACAGAGAAAATGTGGGGCTCCTTGGAAGCACTCGCGTTGGAAGCCGGAGGGTCATTCAAATCTCAGCTGGCTTTATGATATTTTTCTCAATGTTAGGTGAATTACCAGAATTTATTTAAACAGGCGATTCTCTTGAATGTCTTTCATAGTATCTTCATTTGACTTGTTTAACATCTGCAGGAAAATTTGGAGCTTTGTTTGCATCAATACCTTTTACCATATTTGCTGCCGTGTATTGTGTTTTGTTTGGTCTAGTTGGTTCGTATCATCATATCCCTTTTGTAAATACCATTGCTTGGTGTTGCTTTATTTCTAACTATGGCTTTGATTGCTTTCAGCTTCCGTGGGGCTGTCATTCTTGCAATTTACGAACATGAACTCTATGAGGAATCTCTTTATTGTGGGCGTTGCTCTGTTCTTAGGTTTATCTGTTCCTGAGTACTTGAGAGAATACACTGCAAAGGCTCTTCATGGTCCTGCTCATACCGGGGGTGGCTGGTTGAGTTAAACTGTCCATGTGTTCCTTGGGCATATTCAATGATTTTCTTAACAATGACACTGACAACTTTTGTTATGCATGCAGTTCAATGATTTCCTTAATACCATATTCTTTTCATCACCAACTGTCGCGTTAATTGTCGCTGTATTCATGGACAACACACTTGACTATAAAGACAGTGCCAGAGACAGAGGAATGCCTTGGTGGGTTAAATTCCGGTCATTCAAAGGAGATAGCCGGAATGAAGAGTTTTACACACTCCCCTTCAACCTCAATCGTTTCTTCCCACCATCATAAACTATCATCATCAAAGTGCTAATGGGGAGATATGTGATGATGATTGATGATCACAGCCTAAAGAATGGAGTTTCATGTGATTTTCATTGCTGAGAGGCCGCAATTGCCTCTCCCATGATATGTTATATATTTTACTTGGGTTATTCAGGTTTAATCCAATTGCTCAGTCCTTCGGCCTTGTAAGAATTAGTTGTTCAAGTTGATTTTTTTTAATATTAAGATAGAGCTTGCTGCTTTGAACGGTGTTGCAAAAGGCATTAACCAGAATCTTCTCTTGGCAATGAAATTTCGGAAGAACAAAATTATTGAATATATTAACTCTTTGAATCAAATGAATGAAGCAATCATGATGGTGAAATAAAACATGAATGAAATGGCGCCAATGATATACAGTTCCAGGCCCTTGTTTCCATATTGCCTGATAATACTCTAAAGTCTAAAGTGATCTTACTGAGATCTGCACATGCATTCAGAGCACCTTGGCTGTCGATAAATACTCCGACCGGAGCCCCTCACCCGCACTCTTTGACCTTCCTCGATCATCTTTCTTATTCTATCTTCAAAAGTGTTCCATCCTATGGTTCTATTTTCTGCCAAAATTGCTGCTAGCCTCTTCTTATTAGGCCTCAAGGTCGGAGCATGCCCATCACCATAGTAAGTTCGGAATCCAGATACTAGAGATGATAATTGGCTTCCAGAGTCTGTCATGGCAAAGACGTCTGAAGTTGCACAGGCTATGAAGTCTAACGCTGCTAGCTGTATCCAAGGCAAAATTTTATGAAAAGCGGCTTGGCTTTGGCATTTGTAAGTTAAATATGGTAGAGTCTGACGGGAAATTGTCTAAAATGCTAAAATACCTGAGAAGAGAAGTTTCTGAAGGGAGAAAGTTCACTGGGTGTGAGCAGTGTTTCCTTAGCGACCAGATTGGGGTACAAACTGGTAAAGGGGTGCATCCTGGAATTTCCCCCATATATATGAGACCCTGCAAGATAAATATAAGTTTCAGGTTTGAAGCCAAGAGCAGCAAGAACAAGTGCTGCTTCTTCAGATGTCAATGGACATCTCCCCAACTTCCTCAGTTCCACTGGAGAAACAGGCCTACACGCACGGATGGTAGAAAGAACAGACCAAGTCAGTCAAAATATGCGCATGAAAACAACATTAAGTAAAATAAACATGGCAGAAGATAGATAGGGGGCTAGAAATATTACTTTGTGTTCCTCAAGCGTTCAATGAGCCGTGGAAAATGGATCTCTCTGTAGGCTTGAAGTTCTTTTTTCTCATCTTCTCCACCACCGAAATCACATAGGGAGTATGCTACCATATCCTCTTCAAATCTCAAGTGTAAGGCAAGATATCTGGATGTGCCTCTAGCAACATTATGCTGTTTGGAGGAGATTCTGGGTGTGAAATCTCCTAGCAACTGTTTATCCAACCGGTGGGGTGCAGCATAGGATTTCTTTATCCTTTTGACTAATAATGAACCAACTTCTTGGATTTTTGGCACAAATTTTAATGAATGGAAGTTACATTTACACCTCAATCTCTGCAATGGAGCAAAGAACTTTGCATTATGACTAACTTCAAGAACAAGGATCACTAGTGACTAGTGAGTGCTCTTCCAAAATAGTAAGGCCTGCTCAGAAATTTCAGTTCTTTTGCATGATTGTCCTAGTTAAACGTGCAAGGGGATGTCATAGACCTGAAGGTGAGGAGGCAATGGGTCAAAACCAAGTCGATTGCCAAACCCAAGGAAATTAACCACTCTTTTCTCCAGAAGAAGGGGAAGTACACTGCTAAGGTAATCATCTGGCTTTGCTTCCTTTACTATATCAGAATCAGTAATCTGCTTTGAGTTTAAAAAAATAAGAAAATAAAACAAGATAAGAGGTTTTAGATTGTCTTGAGAAATGAAGACCAGCTTTTAATGCAATGTTTAGGAACATAAGACAACGTACTATGCTACCAATGGCTTCAATATCTAAGGACTTCAAGTGAGGAGGTAGTTCCTTTACAATATCTATGTCATCCTTCAAGATGCGCATAAAATAGTATTCTTGGTAGATGTCTCCAAACTGGCTGGTTTTCCATTGGAAAATCGTTCATTATCGACTGTATTAGAAATTTAAGGCAAAAATAAATGTGATAACAAGAAACCAGAAGATAAGTATGAGATATGGTTTCAGACCTAGGATCCTTCCACACATTGCTGTGAAGAAATTTAGGAATAACCAGAGTTGCGTTGAGTAAAGATGCCACAGCAACCGCATTGCAAATCTGCAGAGAACAACAATCAAGTTGTAAAACAAGTAAAAAGCAATGAACAATGAAGAGAAGACCAAAATGCAAATTGAAACTTACAGCTACTCGTTGTTGATTCAGGCCACCATTTGCACTGACCATTATATAGCCATTGCTTTTTGCAGGCTTCCCTGTCTCAACAGGAAAAGCAAAAGAACTTATTGCATGGAAAAATATATTCAGTTTCACATTGTTGGCCATAAATCATACACTGTCATTATCAGTTGCCAAACACTAGATATTTTTGCTATATGCTGTGTTGAAAGCAAGGTATTTACCTGGGTTTGTTGGATATTTTTTATCTGCGCAAGGTTTCCATTTGGATGCTTGATGGTAAGGTTCCTCCCAAAAATTCTGACCATCTTGCTTAAACTCCTTCTGGATTCAAAGGGAAGTTTCAAATTTCAGGGAAAAATTAACTCATATTAAGTTCATTAAGGTGATATAAAAGATTTAATGTGCTTAATACACAAGTCAAGAAGCATACCTCTGCAAGAGCACCAGTAGCCAAATTGAGAAGCCTGCTGTACATGTGAATTGATGGTCTTTCTTCATGAGTATAGACAGCTCTATCCTCCTTAGCATACATGTAGGGAAATGAATACCAGCTAATTGGTGTCAATTCAGCATTCATTGCATAAATTGTTAAAAACAAGGATTAATAACAATGTGAATGCCTCTTAGCCTATGTTAACCGGATTGTTTATTTTCCTTGACAATCCATGACCGTCCCGGATCCTAGAAAGCAATTCAGTCCTGAATTGCTTCTTAGAGAGTTAATGCTAGGCCAGATGATATCCATCAACCTCTTTTAACTTCCAAATTTTGGCTCCAGAATAGAAATGGGAAGAACTTAAATAACATTGTAACAATAATCATACCTCACTGCCATTGGAGTATCTTGAAGTTGAACTGCCTTGAAGGCTTACTGAAGCAAAAAGTGACACCATCAGAGAATCAAGCAAGAACAGGAAAACCATCAACAGCAACATAAAAGCCATCAACAACAACATAAAAGCAATGGACTTCACATTCCTCCGAAACCATGTGTTCTTTTTCCTAACATAAATGCCCTTGCAAGGATTCAACTTCCCGGAATCATCTTTCAAATCATGGAGCAAAACTACTTTGGAATTCCCATAGTTATCTGCCCCTAATATTCTCCTGCCAATAGAAGGATCTGTAGTGTCCCCCAAAGAATCTGAAGTACTACTTCTAATATGATAATCTTTCGTCCTGAAAAATGAGTTAGTAATCTGCGAGATGGGGCGTGCACATCTCGGTGATCCTTGCTTTCTCATCGAGTAAAGTTCGATGCTCTCTATCTCAATGGAGCTTCATTTCTTGCTTTGACATAAACAAGAAAAACAGAAAACCTGGAATTGCTAACCGGAAACTAATGTTTAGATGACAATAACATGGTGGTCTTACAATCTTGTACCTGCCAATTTTACAATTTTTTATTCCCGTCATTTTCTTACAAGGACCCGTCAACAGATGTGAGTTGAACTAATTAAGTTTTCAGCTGTTGGTAAAAGAACAAGTAACAAGAAAAATGGGGTGTAGTTGATAAAATAAGAACGTCAGAGAAGATAGGAAGAATTCAAAGAAACCCTGAGTGGGCGAAAGCGAGTTAGAAACGTCAAAGGAGTGAAACGCAAGACAGATCGGTTGGCAAATTCAAACTCCACCTGAACTATTTAAATCGTTTACCTTGTAATGCAAGTATCATATCATAACAGCTACTTCCCGCCAAACATAAAGCAAAGACCACAATGGATTCTTCTGCTTTCTTATTTCATTTATGATATATGGACTCAACGTATCATATATAGAATATACTTATTCAACGAGGCTATATTTAATTTCCCAGACACCTAATATCAAAGCTCAAGCAAAATAAAAATAAAAATTTTAAAAAAGTTGAAAGAAGAATAAACAAGGCAAAGTACTTACATTGTCACGATCTGCCGCAATTCGTAAGGATCCATAATGTTCAATATTGCAGGTGAATCCGGAGGTCAATTGATCAATGATTTAACTAATAAGTTTCTAAAGGGTCCTCCGGTAGAGGTTAATGACTGCAAAAGGAAAGTCCCTCAACAGATTCCAGAATTGGGAGAGATTGTTTGGAATACAATATCCTTTGCAGTTGCCCTGAATTGTGCCCCGCCCCCTTTACTAAAGTTTTGACACGTCAATTTTTTTCTTTTTAATAGGGTAAACTATATTTGATATCCCTTCACTTTAGGTTTTTTATTAAATTTACCACTAAACTATAAATTAATACGACTGCAGCACTAAAATTTATTTTTCATGCAATTATATAAGTAGGTTTTTAAGTGTATTGATATGGATGATGGTCTTTGTTAACGTAATTATGTAGCTAAAATGCTGTGATTTTGGTGGGAACATATTGATGCTCAAAACATTGCTTTAAAGATTTTACTAACTCTTAGTTTCTATATTGATTTTGTTATTAAACTTTAAAAAACTTTAATTTTACTAATTGAACTTCCTGACCACCATTGGCAGCTAATTGATTTTTCATGAAACTAATTTAAAATCAACTCAAATATATTTAAATGTTCAACGTGTTAATACTTTAATTTCCTCTTGTGATCGTCCAATGATGCTAGTTTTGAAGTATGGTGTTTGCCTTCTTAACATATTTTTTTACCATGGCTTGAATTTTCGAACAAACACTTCAAATCCAATAAACCTCAAACCATAAAACTGATGAAATTTTTTGTTTAATGTTTCGAGTTTTAAAGAGATTTTGAAAAAAAGTAAACTAAACAAAATGATAAAGTACGATGAAATGAGATTATTAATATTTAAAATAATTATATAAAATGTCAAAAAGTAATATTTTTTATCGACTATTATGAAAAATAGAAAACCTCAAACTTTTCAAACCACCCCTATCGAACTTAAGA